CCCCCCCCCCTCAGCCGTTCCCCCCGCCCCCATCCCGGCGCGTTGCCCCTCCCCGGTCACTAATTAGCCCTAATTAGCGCTAATTGCCTCGCAGGCTGGCCGAGCTGCGGCGGCAGCGCCTGGCCCGGGAGGCGGCCGAGGCGGCGCGGAGCCGGGAGCTGCTCCGGGGGCTGCGGGACCCGCCCGGGACCCCCCGGGACCCCCGGGACCCCCGGGACCCCCGGGACCCCGAGCGGCAGCGGCGCTACAACAGCCAGTTCCACCCGGGGCTGGCGCGGGGGGGGAGCAAGCGCAGCTGAGAGCCAAAAATCCAGCTGGGAGCCCCAAAATTCACCTGGAACACCCCCCGGAATTGGTAATGGACTGTTCCATCCAGGGCTGGCCCGAATTTAACTGGGAGCCCCAAAATTCACCTGGAACACCCCCGGAATCGGTAATGGACTGTTCCACCCGGGGCTGGCGCGGGGGGGGAGCAAGCGCAGCTGAGAGCCAAAAATCCAGCTGGGAGCCCCCAAAATTCAACTGGAGCCCCCCCCAAAATCGGTAAGGGACTGTTCCACCCGGGGCTGGCGCGGGGGGGGAGCAAGCGCAGCTGAGAGCCAAAAATCCAGCTGGGAGCCCCCAAAATTCAACTGGAGCCCCCCCCAAAATCGGTAATGGACTGTTCCACCCGGGGCTGGCCCGAATTCAACTGGGAGCCCCCAAAATTCAACTGGAGCCCCAAAATTCACCTGGAACACCCCCGGAATCGGTAATGGACTGTTCTACCCGGGCCTGGCCCAAATTTAACTGGGAGCCCCCAAAATTCAACTGGATGCCCAAAATTCACCTGGAACCCCCCCGGAATCGGTAATGGACTGTGCCACCCAGGGCTGGCCCGAATTTAACTGGGAGCCCCCAAAATTCACCTGGACCCCCCCCGGAATCGGTAATGGACTGTGCCACCCAGGGCTGGCCCGAATTTAACTGGGAGCCCCCAAAATTCACCTGGAACACCCCTGGAATCGGTAATGGACTGTGCCACCCAGGGCTGGCCCAAATTTAACTGTGAGCCCCCAAAATTCACCTGGGAGCCCCAAAATTCACTTGGAACCCCCCTGGAATTGGTAATGGACTGTGCCACCCGGGGCTGGCCCGAATTCAACTGGGAGCCCCCAAATTCACCCTGGAACACCTGGAATCCCCCCCAAATCGGTAATGGACTGTGCCACCCTAAACTGGGTGGGGGGATGGGCAGCAGGGACCCCCCAAAAATCTCCCTGAGACCCCCCCAGGACCCCCCAAAATCCCCCTGCGATGCCCCAAACCCCTCTGTCTCCCCCCCCCAAATCCAGTGGAACCTCCCAGTCCCTCTTAAGACCCCCTTGGGCTGGAAGAAACCAAAATATTTTTTGGGGGGGGGAGGGGGGAATCAACCCCAAAATTCTGAGGAGAAAAAGGATTTTAGGGAGCTGGGTGAAACTCAGAAATTTTGGGGGTCAAAGAAGATTTTCGGGAGTGGGGGAGGGGACCCCAAAATTCCCTCCCTTCCCCCCAAAATCCCCTCCCCTCCCTCCCTCCCCCCACAACGAGCTCTGATATAAAACTATTTATTCATAAATATTTTCCAAAATGAAAATAACTTTACGAAAAATATCTTCAAACTGCTGAGGGAATGGGGGGG